AGAGGAGAGGAGAGGAGAGGAGAGGAGAGGAGAGGAGAGGAGAGGAGCGGAGAGTATAAGTATGTAGCAGGAGGGAACAGAGAAGCTGGAGAAGAAGCTGGAGAGAAAGGCTGAAGAGAAGTTGGAGAGTGAAGTGAAGCAAGTACTGGTTTCTGTTCAGGGAGAGAAGAACAGTCTAAAGGTGGCTTCCTTGGAAGAAGGGAAGGGAAGATCCAGAGGGATGAACTCCACCCAAGACCCGGGAGGGGAAAAAGGAACCTGACTGGCAGCAGGGAGCAATTTCACCCAAGACCCAGGAGGGGATGGAGGGAAGCAACTGCTGGTGGAGAAGCCCTGGTCTGTGAGGAAGGATTGGGCAGAAGACCCAAGAGAGGTTCTTCCCCAACACAGAAGTGGAAGGTGCTTCAGCTGAGCTGAAAAAGGTCAAGCCACACTGAGCGCACTTCAGTAATCCAGTCCATTCCTTTCTTTTCTTTTCATTCTGTTTCTTGCCTAGCCCAGAAAAGGGGGACAGAGTCAGGGAGAAAAAGGGAGGAAGCAGGAGAGGTAGAGGGGGGCAGTCGCTGGGAGGGAGACCTGGGAGGAAATCCAACACCACAACTGTCTTGTAAAGACCCGCTGTAAATAACTGTATATAGTAAAAAGCACAAAAGCCTCCACTGTTGCATGTTTTCTGTGTCACTTGCCACCTTTGCTAAGCAAGACACCTCCAGTTCAAAAACAAACTCTGTTACACTGCGATAATCTTTTATTTGAATACCTTTGGCGTTGCCCTAGTAATGCTTTTTAAAAAATCCACCAAAGGCTATTTGACTTGTACATAACTTATTATGTCAGAAAAGGTCATTTGTATTTGATATTGATATATTTAAATAAGTCAAATCATATTTTGTGTGAAAGTTATCGTGACTAAAGAAAGAATGAAACAAATTAAACAAGATTTCTTCTGTGTTGTAGGTCACCCTTCCTTCTAATGACTTTGTGAGAATATTGCCTAGCCACCTCAAACTCAGACCAGTTTTGCTTGGAAAAGGTTACTTTGCAAGGGTAAGACATGTGACATTGCAAATACTTACCATTTCCATTGCATTTGAAGAGTGCAACATTCTTTTAGCCATCACAGGTTATAGTACTTTCCTTTAAGTGATTAATTTCTAGCCTTTCTACTGTTACTCTTGGCATGCCCATAAGAACTTCTATAAGAGCTTTGCTGGATTAGATCAATGATCCATCTTGTCCAGCTGGTGGCCATTACCCCATCTGATGGCAGTGAATTCTAAGTGTGCTCATGAGTCCAAAAAGGTGGGGGAGCCTTGGCCTACAGTACATCCTCTCCTTACTTCACCAAGAAGACATTTAAGATAGCCTTGCTAAGCTATTAAGAAAATGTAGGATGAAAAAAAAAGCTGTTCAGATCCCAGAATTACAAATACACCAATAATTACATTGAACTAATGTCTGGATCCTACAATTTAATTATAGTTCAGTCAGTGTGAAACCAATTTGTGGCATAATTTGGAAAATAAGGATGAATTTGCATGTTTTGGCACAAAGAGAATTGGTCCACATGTGTGCCAGTTTGTGTACCACCAAAGCATGGAGATGTTTTTAATCTGAAAATAGTTTGGGAAGGAACACCACATCTCATGGTGCTGGGGTCCCAATAGGATGGTTGCCCACCAGGCTGTTTGCTCTCTTATTCACCAGATCACCTTTTTTATACCCCCACCCCGCATCAGTTTCAAAGGATTCTCCCTCCAAGCTGCCCTTTTGCCTCCTTGCTGTTAATCGTTCAGTCTTCGCTGCACACAGTCACTCTCATTTTGAACCAACGTATTGGAGCATAGACCCTAAACCAGTGTTTCTCAACCTTGGCCACTTTAAGCGGTGTGGGTGGCTGGCTGGGGAATTCTGGGAGTTGAAGTCCACACCGCTTAAAGTGGCCAAGGTTGAGAAACACTGGCCTAAACCAACAGCAACAACAACAAGCCTCTGCTGTGGGTAAAAGAGGTAAGAAGGTGCACCAGTGGGTGAGTGGGGGGTCTCTGTGAGATGACTCTGGGTCTGTATGCTTACTGTACATATGTCCAGAGAGAGGAAATGGGTATATAAGCTGACTGACAGAAAGATGTTGTGCAAAAAGTGTTTGCTTTCTGTGTCTTTTGGGAACACACACACAGATATATACCTATTTGTCTCAGTGGTCAAACAAGTTCATGATGCAGTACAGTGGTACCTCTACTTACGAACTTAATCCGTTCCGTGACTCTGATCGCAAGTCG